ATATTTATATCAAGCGAAAACGGAGAAAGAGTTCTTCGGTTGTTAAAAAGCGCTGAAAACTTTTTAAGAAAACGTACAAACGATCGTAGAAAGGTTTTTTTGTTTTGGCCTGCGATCTCCGACGACGAAAGCCCGATCGAGGTGAAAGCTCTCTCTCTCTCTCTCTCTCTCTCTCTCTCTCTCTCTCGCTCGCTCTCTCTCCCGTTTCCCTTACCGTCAACTGGCTCTTTTACTTCTCGCATTTTGTTAATAGCCGACCGAATTGAATATGAAGTCTGCCGATGGGAACCGAACGGAATAACAACGCATTTTGGCCTTCCGCGTTCTTTGTGTTTCTGTAAAATGTATACGCGCGTGTACCTAATACATGTATGTGCGTATATGTGTTGCCGTTGTTCTGATGATGCATACAGAATATCTTTCGTCCCGCGTGTCGCTCCGAAAAGGGGAATCGTATGAAAGAATCTCGTCCACGATTACTCGATAATTCCACTTGTAGCAATGCCATACCCACTACCTAGCTACCTATCTATGAGCCTATATTTCTTATACCTCTAACAGCTACGACCGTCTAACAGAGTAGTTTCCTCTCTCGCCGTTTTATCTAAATATCTTTCTCACCGTATTCATTAATTTTTTTTCTCTTTAGTTCAGTGGTTACAGTAATAGTTGTAGTACTTTAGTATTTACTAATAACAGTAATACTTAATAGCGGTAGTAACAGTAGTAGTAGTAGTAGTAGTAGTAGTAGTAGTAGTAGTAGTAGTAGTAGTAGTAGTAATAGTAGTAGTAGTCGTAGCGATAGTAGTAGTAGTATCAGCAGCAGCAGCAATAGTAGTAGTAGTAAGTAGACGATAGATAATAACAACGAAAGTAATGATCACACTACTATCATTCCGGTAGTAGTAGTAATATACAACAGTAGTAGTAGAATAGTAGTAAGAGTTAGTAGTTAGTAGTTTTAGTAGCGATGGTGGTGGTTTGGTGGTGGTGTTGGCGGTGGTGGTGGTGTTATTAGAGAGTAAGTCGTCGTTTTCTTGCGTTGGTAAATTTACTCCGTGACGGTAGGGGCGTGTGGTTCTTCCTTTTTTTCGTCTTGCAGTGGTGACAGTTATTTGCGGTAGCGGTAGTAGTAATAGTAGTAGTAGTAGCAGTAGCAGTAGCAGTAGCAGTAGCAGTATAGTGGTAGTAGTAATAGTAACAGTATTAGTCGTTTAGTAACAGTATTAGTAGTAGTAGTAGTAGTAGTAGTAGTAGTAGTAGTAGGTTTTTTTAATTAATAGATTCTCAACAGTAACAGTACGTACTAATTTTAATACGTAATAAACTTGTGTTATCCACTGCGGAATTGTTTCGCGTTTCTATTCTCGTTTTAATCCATTTGCGTTGGAGCTAGGCTGGTAGTTTTTTACTTTTTGATGCGCGTCTTAAAACTTTTTTTCGTTTTCTCTAACTAAAGTAGCGAGGCGAAAAGTTCAAGTATCGTTAATAAAGGCGCGTAACGTAAATCTCTGTATAATTATTGTTTTTCTCTTTAATCTGTCTCGCTGGTCTCGTTCACTGACACTCGCACCATCGTTCACTCGCATTTTTATGCGCACTCAATCATTCTCGACTCACCATCGCTATCAAACAACTCACGAACGAACATCTCGATTTTCTTTTAAAAACACTCGACCAGTTATACACGCATTTACACTGTCATCCTTTCGTACACTCTTTCATCGCAAATATCAAAGTTTTCGCATTCGTCTATTCTTTGCTCGTTCTCTAATAAAAGATGGATGAAATATCCCTCGGTAAAACTCGCGTCTAAGACCTAATAAGTCGAATAATGAAGTCGCTTTATTTATTTACTTAATCATTTATCTTTTATTTGCTTAACTTGCTGCACCTGTTGCTAGTTTTGTTCTCGTTATCTCAATTTTAGCTAAATCGCGCGTTACGATATACTTATTTTTTTTTGTTCGTTTTCGTAATTTAACATCTAATGCGTGTTCACTTTATTTTTCGAGTTGCAACGTCAGACTCGCTTCCTCCTTCATCATAGTCGATTTTTACGTGTTATTCGTGTGGGTCGCGTTTCCGATTCTCTCGAAATGACGAATCCTCTTAAATTTCTTTTTTTTAATTCGATCCGTTTACAATTAACTCGGCCCGTTACCTGGCGCCGTACAACGGTGGCCGAAATATTTTTCTACAAATTCTCGCAATTCGTTAGAAATTTCGTTATTCGCGATCGATTATAATTATCGTTTACGTAACGAATTGAATGCGAACACGGTGTCCGTTGTACGATATACGGCGGTTTTCGAAGGGTCGATCTAAGCGGAAAATGTTCGAGCACCGACGACGTTCTTCGAAATTAATCGTTTAACGCGATATTCATTTCTTTCGATTCGTTTTATTTTATTTACTTTAACTGAGATTGGTAAAATGGCAGTCTTGGCGATTCATTCTTTTGTTTTGTTTTATCCGATGCGCTTTCTCCACCGAGCAAGAGGTGAAATATCGAGACGACAGCGAAGAGATTAGGGAAAGTGTTGTTATTGTTATTGTTGTTGTTGTTGCTTCAACATCGAGACAACCGATTGGCTTGCCAATTCGTTTTTCACTGAACTCGCGACTTCGCTTCCAATTGAGTTTTCTCTCCCTCTCTTTGAATAATCTTTCACCACGCGTTCTTCTTACGATTAAACGAGAATGAACGTATTAAGATAACATAAACGAAAAGTAACAAGCTTAAGCTCTTGTACGTGACAGACGAAAGAAAACAAATTTTATACAGACTGCAACTGACTTATTTACATGAATTTATTACTGAACTTAGCAATGAGGAAAAAACTAATTCGCCAAGCTGAACAAATAATCGTAACAAACAAGAATCACTTTGGTTTTCGTTCAACCCTTTCGATCGCCTATTTATATCGAGGGCGGTCTATTATTAGCAGCGATACTTTGAAATACTGTTTCGCGATTTGGCAATTGTCGATAACTATTCACTATTTAACGACGGAATTGATCAGCGTTCTATTTTATTGGACATTTGATCGAAAGGGTGAAATATTCTCGTCTCCAGTCCCGATGCGAAAGCCAGGGAAAGAAATTAACAGATGCGAGAGGAAGAGAAAAGAAACACGAACGAAACAATACTCAACGCGCGATCGCAGAACAAAGGCGTAAATACTTGAACATTTCCTGACCGTCCACCTTCTTCTCCCTCGCGTTACCTAAACACAAAAATCCGAGTTCGCCCACGAAGATTTTAGCCTCGCTAAGAAACAAAAGAACAAAGATGAATCTCTGCGTGGTACTGCTTTCGCTACTACTCGACTTCCTCTCTTCCGTTTGTGTGTCTATATCGAGTCCGTGATTGGTCGCGCGAACAAAGAGGGACCGAGATTGGTGTTCGTCGGTATATCGGTACACGCGGTTGCACGCGCCATCGGCAGACACCCTTCCGACCGGATTTCTCGATTTCTACCCCGTCGGTTCGATTCGCCAACCGCCGAACGAAGCGGAGTCGAATTTCGCGTGCGAAACAAACGAAGAAAACCCCTAGAGCTTAATTCCGGTTCGATTCGAGCCTGGAGCTTTCTTAGTTGAATCTCGACTCGCGTATACCTCGACCGTGCACGAGAACCTTAACAGGTTGAGCGCTATCCACTTACTTCACTGCGTGTTCCGCGTTACATTGGGGAAGCAGCCTCTGATTTCGAACCGAGTTCACGCAGTCCGAGTTGTTCTAGATCGTGCTTTCGTTTCGCCACTCAACGCGTTAAGGAAACAGCTATTTTCTCTTCAACGCCGACGGGCAGCAGCTAGATGCGATTAGTTGAAAACTTGCACGCGAACTTTATGAGATCGCGCACGATCGAGGAGAGCAACATACGCCTATTGCTTCGCTCGCAGTTAAACTATGTTCCCATGTAGTTGTGTGTATACTAGTGTGTTGTTTGTATGTGAGAGTACAGTGTTACGCTCCGAAAAACGAATTGCATCCCAATGGTTCTCGCTCGTTTGAAATTACTGTACACACTCCGGTTACGCTTCGGTTATTCCTTTTTCGTTCTGTCCTCGGTGAAAAAGATTCAGTCTCTCAGCTGCAAGACACACACTTGTCTCCGTAACGTGTAGCTTTTATCATTAATCGTACTTCATAAGTCTGTCCCCTCACCGCGAGCACCATCGCCATTATTTAACCATCCGTTCCGTTTATCTTCTCGTATCTATCTCCCTCTCCCTCATCTCGTCTTCATCCTCTTCCGCTCGATCGTGGCTTCGTCCATTTTCGCGTAGTGTTATTAATCATTAAAACGAACATTTTTTTTAATCTTACTCTTTTTCGTTCTTGCTCTGTTTAGCGCATCTTCGCCTACGTGTTTATTTCGGTATAATTATATCGATAATAATTACTTAGTATTATCTGGTACGATTCCCCTGGTGTCCTCGCCGGCCGGCTCGCCCCCTGTTGATCCGCGAGCGTTCGCTGCTTCGCCGAAATTCGCGCGGGCATCGGAGGCGCGTAGGGGGCTCGACGACGTTATAACTTATATATTTTCTTTAATTCGCGAAGCCGCCGCGACTTAAATTCTCTTCCCCTCTTCGTATTCTTTTATACCGTTTATATTTGTTACCTTTTTTATTTATCATTTGTATTGAACACTGGAGTCGGTGGTGTGGGGGATGAACGCGCGACCGAACCATATTCTGGCTCCATCCCCCCATTTTTTTTTATTAGCACGTAGGTCCCTACGTGGGGTGCGTATGTGTCTAACCGTAAAACACCTTCGAAGCGGCTGTCTTTATCCTCAATGCACTTATATTCTCTTATAGAAAAACTCTTCCCGTAATTATTTCACCCGTTCGTTTAACGTCGTTTCTGCATTCGACGACGCTTCCCGTTTTCTTTGACCGCTTTCCACACTCGTCCTCGAACACTCTTCCGCCGACGATGGAAGAAATCATATGGCACCTAATTTTTTGTTCTTTTTTTTTTCTTTTTTTTCTCTATTAGTCAGCCGATTCTTGGTCGTTGAAGTTTAATTCCCCACTCGTTCTCGCGATTGTTAATGGATTTTGGAAGCACCCCTCGTATTGACAGAACTAGGTGTATGGACAGACGACGCGGTGAGGCGCGCGCGCGGATATATCCGAACGGCGAGCGCGCGCGCGTACGCGCGGGTGCACACGTGCTATAAGTAATCGCTGGTTAGCGCGACCACGACCACGTGTGAAGGAGGTCTACGCCAGGCACAGTAAGCAGCCGCAGCTGTTCCTCAACAGCTGTTCCACCATTGGCCAACACGTTGCCACCGTCTCCTTCACTGCAATCAGAAAAACCTCCTTTAATCCCAGGCTGTAATCTACCGTTGCGTGTTTTATTTAGTCATTCTATTAAAAAGAAAATCTCGCCCTCGTTCGACGCTTATCCCCACCCCTACCTCGTTCTCACGTTCCCTGGAAGAAAATTTTCTCCTAGTTAGGTAAACCACAGTTGTAGATGCGCGTACCTAGTAGTCAGACGTCAGTCTCGATGCTCATACAGGCTGGATTAATATTGTTATTATGGCGAGGGTTGCAGTTGGGCTTCTTCGTGATCTCAGGATGCGTGAGCAATATGCCCTCCTCCAACTCCATAATGTCCGACGACGATTCCGACATCGAACTCTTCTTCAAATGTTGACCTGACGATCAAACGAGACGCCCAAGGTTCGACAATGTTTCCATGGATCATGGTCAAAAGTGAGCCAGTGGATCGTACAATTAATTCGAATGATCCTATACCATGATCGAAGACTGACACAGAAAAGATGCAATGTGTACGAGCGGAATACATATCCAAGAGAATGTAATATGTGAATAGGGTGATGATTCAACGCATCCGATCAAGAATAGGTACTGGAGGAACGGTCACATGAATTCTATTTTTGTAAAGCGTGCGCTCACTTTTGACTCTCGTTCTGTATACATGCATCGCGTAAACCTAAAGAGGTAGGAGGCAGTTTTAAATCGTCTACGCGCGCTTTCAGGATAATCCTCGCCGAGTGCGCTCTACCCGAGTGGTTTCCACCCCAGCCAACAAGCTTTTTGTCGGCTATCAATTTCCCTTTAATCGTTCGACGTCGAAGATCTGGCGTGGCGTAGCGCCGCCGCGCTGTTCGTCGAAACGAAGGCGTGAAAAATCGACCGAGTCGCGCTTAAGCGGATTAAAGTCACGGTAAACTGGCTTGTCAGGGCAGGGTCGTAGACACGCGATATCGGTACGTACTCACGGCCGGATTTGTCGGAATACTTTACATTCAGTTGGAGCGATCTCTCTTCTCCCGGGTCGACTTTCAGCTACTTTGACTAATCGTCGAGAGGCGCGTCGATCCTCACGTAAATTGAGGATCTTCTAGCGAGTATTATCGAGGCAGCTTTATCGAGTTTATTAACTTCGTTACTGACGCGAAATATTAAATCACTCCGAAGGAGAGATCTGCGCACGCGACGAGACGTTACCGCGGAGCCTTCCGTGACCCGTGACTGACGCCATTAGCAAACATCGTCGGCGTCCTTTAAAATTCAAATTTCGACACTAATCGGTGCGGCTATCAGAGTCACTGTACAAAGTTCGCCATCGAGTAAGTAGACTAAAAATCTCCGACAATGAATTTACGAATAATTAACGATCTCCCAGCGAATAAAGTTATTATGGAAATATCTTATTCAACGTGATTAATCTTCAGAGCAAAATCGCGTTAACTATATTTTGAAATTCGATATCTTTTACTTCGTATTGTATATTTTTATCCTTTGTCTCATTATATAATCCTTATTGTAACAACATAGAAATTTCTGAGAACTCGAATGAAAGCTGGACCTCGATTCGGCTAGGAATGCTCATACCAGGGAGATACGGGCAGCTGGTCACATGATTGAAGTTCTGCGACTGCATCTCTTCCTGGTCAGTCTCACGATGATAGAAGTAGTTGAAATTGGAGACGATGACCGGGACAGGAAGAGCGATCGTCAGTACACCGGCGATCGCACACAATGAGCCCACGATCTTTCCCCAAACTCCCACGGGCCTGAAGCATAAGCAAACGGTGCGAGGTTTTACTAGTTGCGGCCGACCGCAGGCTCTCTTCTAAACGTCGATATAATAGAATAGCTTCTCGTTCCTCGTCTAGAAACTCGGTGCTAGGTGTGGTGTTTCTATCTTGTGTGAGTATTGCCGTGTCGAGTCGAGAGTATGGCGCTACTTAATGCGGTACTTATGGAGGCGCCTATAGATACACGCGGACCCGTGTTACGTGTTGCGTTCGCCAACAGAGATTGGTCGTGATCCTTCCTGATTAATTACGAATCTCGTTTATACGATCGTTGTACTCTACTGCCTCCCTAGCTCGACTTAACTAACGTTTCACCACAGAACGTATGTAAATTGCTATCCCCAGGGAAAGAGTCTTGTCCTAAACGTTTTGCATAATCAAGCTGCAAAAATACGTGGCACTTTGATAAACACTTCAGCATTCTATCTAAGAACAGACAGCGTGACAACTAATCCCTGCTTTCGTGAACGCGGCACAACATCGGGGCTGTGTGTACTTATAGTGTTTCGCGTGTTCTAATAAGAAGCGGGCTCTCTAGGCTAGACTAGGGGACTAACGTGACTCCCTAAAAAAAGGCTCGTCTCTCGTGTGCCGATGCACCGTTCCAAAAAACAAGCGTGTGCCATTCCGTTGCTGAGACCTGATCGAACCTTCTTACTAAAAACGTTACGACATGCAGTTCTCTAAGCTTCTCTCGCTTCGGGAATCATAACATAATCGTGTCAAGTGAAACATTCTGTGCTCGAATCCCGTTCATGGTTTATTCCCTTGATTGGATGCAGTTTTAATCGTCGTGGTATTCTCTTCCAGTGAAATGATCAAAACGTCGTCCGTGATCTCACGGAATTTAGTGGCAGGGTAAATTGGACGTTGGATCGCTTGATCGTTCGACTCTCGCCTTTTCTCTATTCGAATAGAGTGAATTAGGCGACGCGATCAGTACGCGTTTCATCGCATCAAAGGTCACAGAACTTGTTCACGCGTTAACCACTTCAAGCGTCGTTCCATAACGGCGCACGTCTTTCCTAAGCGGAAATTCCCTGTAACGCGCTGACGGGTTACGACGGATCGTAAACAGGTAACGTCCGTTTGTGACGCAGTTTCAGTTCCACTGTACCCTTTGACCGATAGATAAAAAATCTCACCGAGATACCAATTAACTGTTTGAATGACGAAACGGTAGAATAGCCTTCTCCGTCTCAATTACCGTACGTCGTATAGGTCATGGAAATGTTCTATGGATGCATGCATATTCGCGGGTAACCCGTGGCTGAGAGATGACGCATTCTTTGCGGCCGCAGTTTAATTGAATAACAGTCGCTATGTGCGCGATGAACAATACCGCGGTTCGAGATCAAAGACAGGAACAAAGAATTCACTGTCACTCGTCACGCTCATTCACGCTCGCCCGATGAATGGTTTCCCGCGAGATGGGTTTTAGCCAGTTTCTTAAAAAAGAAACGTGCAACGCGCGTCAGTTCTTTCTGAACTTATTAAGCGAATCTCGTTACCATTCATTAAGAGAATATAATGGTACCAGATTGGAGGGCAGTGATCTAAGGTTCAAATAATTATCGTACGAGCATCAAGTTTGCTATTGTCATCAGTTCAGTCGCATTCAAGTTGCAAAAAGAAAGATCATTCCTATGCAGGTGTCACTGTACTATGGGCCTTTGTGATCCATGGCTGACATGGTGGTAGCAGTAATGACAGCGTTGTGGAATAGAGAATTGAATGCTTTCCGTAGGAATAGGCGGACTGGAGATAGTTGTGGAATATGTTTGATCGCGAGGCATGCTGTCAATGATGTTTAAGGAAAAAAATAAGAAGAGGCAGAAAACTAATTTGATGCAGAATCAACTTATACTACATAATGCTGATTTGTCATCCAGGAAAGAGAAGAAGTAAGATTTTAAAGATGTATTTCGATCTCGATTGAAGGAAGTGTTCCTGAAATTGGCAACCAATAGTGGTTAATGGTGATGCAAGAATCGACGAGACGCGACACGGTAGTCGGGGATGGAACACTTTGAAAGCGGTGCGGTAGGGTTCGAAACGGGGGAAGCTGGTTACGGGGTTCGATAGAGGAAGCGAGTGACGCCGGTCTCTCGACAAAGGAGTTCGATGCGTGTATGCGCGAATATATTGTAATGGGAAACTAGAACGGGCCTTTTGCGTATGACGAGCCCTTGTACCGGGTGTCCCTAATCGAACGTCTGAAATATATATTCCGCGAACAGTTTCAAATAATTGATCGTCGCTGTAAATAATTTATATCGGGTATTTTGAGAAACGTGACATCTTTGAACGAGGAGCAACTTCCTGTGTACCTGTCACGCTGAAACGTCGACGAGCTTCAGATGACAATCATAAATGGGACACCCTGTATGCATTCACGGTGCAACGATACAGAGACTCGGTATTTATATGCGAGAATAATCAGCAGTCGCTTCGGTTTCGTTCTCATTCGCCGAGGGGAATTTCAATGAGACAAACGTTCTACTCTTCGCTACTTTGTACCAGCTCTACCTCCACCGCGTCTCACCGGCGTCAAACTATTACAACTATAGCCCAACCTTAGACTTTAATTTCCAAAGGACCGACAGTACTCTCCGGACTCCATAATAGTTTAATAATAGACCTGCCTACTAATCGTGCCGAAGCTCTACAATTCAGACGCGTTCCTCTCGGTAGAGGTAACTAACAATTCAACGCCGAAATAGCTCGGCCATTTCGTGTTCCCAATTCGTGTTCTATCCGCAACTTTCGCTCAAACGCGTTCCCTTGTTAAAAACAATTAGCAGCAAATGTAACCATCAATTCACTCGTTGATCCAACTGTTTCCCCCTGAATCTCCTTCGGAAATCCTCAGTTCGGAGGATTTGTTCCGAAAACAAATGTGTCGAAATTCATGTCCGTTGAAAAATAACGTCGCGTTCCCACGATTTTCTAACGTGTTCATTATCCGATGAGCCCTTTGAACCCGGGCCGGTTTCCAAGAAGCGAACCCGGCGCGGTGCCCGAGGACACTTATTGATTCACGGTAGGCAATTGCTCAAGAAGCCTTCTCGGTCGTAACACCGGAGATCTCTCGAGCCTCTCTCGACGGATGCTCTCGAATCTCGAGGGTCCCACCACGAGCCTACCCCGTCGATATTATAATCGCACCCTACGCGCCACGGAGAAGAGACTTACGCCACTCGTGACACCGTTGAACAAGCGTTGCGATTCAATACGCATTTTACGTTATCGTTCTACGAGTTACAATCTCCCATCGCTTGATTTGCCAGCGTGATTAATAAAATCTCGTTATTTTTAAACGAGATTCGAATCCGACAAAACAAGATTCGATATTTTATTTATCCTCTGTACACCGTTTCGCACGATTCCAATAAATTTTTCTCATTTCGCGTATCGAAACAAAACAAGAAGGATTTAAATTGCCGTCAGGTTACAATGGGAGTAATAACGGGTTTCTGTGTCGTTGAATTATTGATCCGTATTATACGGGACCGTCAAACGCTTGGCAAAAGGAAAGAATGAATCCGAAGCCTTTGAGGGATTGCCGATTGGTCTCACCGTATCCAGTGGCAGTGCACTGAGTATGTGTCCACATAGTAGGTATCGCCGTACGGATCGCGTGCTCTAAACACGCGGAAAACAAACGTAACGTGCAATTTCCCCCGGCAGATTGGACGCCGAGGACGAAATGGAAATTGTAACTTGGCTGGAGCTACATTTTCTTCATGGCTCGGATTCTGGAACGTAATCGAGTTGCCAACGCCACTAGTAGGCGTTGCGCGCGTTCTCGCATTCCCAGGACCCTCTCAATTATTCCGCCAAAGGCCAATTAACCGCGTCGAACGCTTCAATCGAGAGAGGTTTGGAACCTCGCCACGCCGAAGTGAAAGGAGTGGGCGTTCTTTTTTTCTCGCCAACAGAGAACAGAGATGTCGCGATTCGTTCGAAACGATAACGTCGAACGAAAGCGAAGGGCGACGGCGACGACGACGCGGATAAGGAACTAGCGGTGAAAGGCTGGTTAAGAGCTGAATCAGCCCGAGAGGGGAAGTAATAAAGCTGAATGATGAGGGAGACGAGCTGTCCCGGGACGCGTTGTGGAAAAATTAAATAACGAGGGGAGAGCCGATTTTCGCGATCGAACAGCTTGGTGACCCTCGTGGGGAAAATTGCGAAATGGCGATGGGTGTGCGACGCTTAGGAACGTGAGTCGAAGAACAAGAGTGGATCTTTTTCAAGAACGAACAGAGAAAAAGACATTCCGATTTTTGTGGTAGTAGAGCAGCGTGGATAAAATGGATAAATTCGAAAAATTCTAGCATGTTCAAATTCTATCAAGCAATACAGCCCCTGGTCATTTAATTGTCGAACCATCAATTGAAAATGAATCCTATAATACTCGTGACATTTTCACTCCTTCCGATAGCAATCTGTTTATGTAAGTATTATATTTACAGTTGTGTGGGAGTTATTTCTCATTGACGACAAGCAAGAGTTAAATATTTCAAACGTAATTACAATTTGATCAGGCAGGGACGAACGAACGTAGTACTGTGATTAAGAAAGTTATAATATTTCAATTCAATGACCATGGACCACAATTAATTAAGTTAAAATATCCAAACGTAAACGATTCAAACCAAAGAAGCGATCAAACAGGGTTAAAATGGGGGGGGCGGGGGCGGAGTAAAATCGGAAAATCGGAGACGTGCTTTCGGGGGTAAATCCAAGAGCAAGTTAAGAATTAAATCAAAGTAATTCGGTAGAGGAATAGAGAGAGAGAGAGAGAGAGAGAGAGAGAGAGTAATACGAGTTAGAAGTGTGTGTTCGTTTGTTTCATTTTTTATGCGGGCATTAACTAGAGTCTTAAGTGAAAGTGAGTACATCATACGTCATGTCACCATAGCCCACGGTCGTCATCGTGACAACGGCCCACCAGAACGCGTCCGGAATGGACTTGAAGAACGAATTCTCGGAGCCGGCCTCCGCGAAGTATACCGCCGATGAGAATAGCACCACACCTGCAATGCAAGGAAGAAAACACCGGTTCAGTGGGTTTAACGCCCCCGGTGGTTTTGTACCTCATGTCCCCGTAGCCAACGGTCGTCATCGTGACCACCGCCCACCAGAACGCGTCCGGTATCGATTTGAAGAAGCTGTCCTTCGTGCCCGCCTCCGCGAAGTATACCGCAGACGAGAACAGCACCACACCTGGAACGAACACAAGAGGAACAGGCGCTACTTCAGGATACGCTACTTCTTTGCCCTGGCTCCCGTCGACGGCAGTAGTCCTTCGCTCGTAACGCTGAACCGCTCCTGGCGGATCGATAAATGGATTCGATCTGTCTTCGCTCTTACTCCCGTTTGATAGGAATAAAATCAACGCCTTTAAAGGGCTTCCTTCCATTACGATGATTGGATTTCGAGCGTTCCCTTCGGATAATCGGACCTTGGTTTTCGTTAGCCTACATTTTTAACCTCCACGCCTTTCAAAGGATTCCCTCGCTTTGGCAGGGGCAAACACTCGTCGCGAGTATAAACAAATTTGAACGGCTGTATGTGTAAGAATAATTTTTTTACGAGCGAAGTCAACACTGGGAATATCGTGAAACGGGGACAAGGAGAAGAGAAATTATAATTCTTCTGGTCCGTTGATAAAATCGTGCGGCTCGTATATTGCCAGATTTGCACTAAACAATTGACTGCAGTTGAGGATGCTTACGTATTCGAATCGAGAATCGATAGATTGAGGGGTTGTATATTTCTCCGAAATATTTGAACGAAGACGTTTCCGGTAGCCGAACAATGGCAAGGAATTACTTCCCGTTCTCCGGTCCCACTCTATTTTTCGCAGCGCGGCGATTAAATTGCAAATGCCCGACTTCCTTTTATCGTCCTTCCCGGGTATTAAAATTCGACCCGGTAGATAAACGTTTATCGCTCTCCGTCTCTAAAGTTCCACGAGAAGAGATAAACACGTTTGCCAAGCGAGGGAACCTACATCATCATCGTCGGCGAAAAGTTTCGGGTATATACACACTTGGATACACGGTATGCGGTTTTGCGGACGGCTGGGAAATGGAGCATGGATCATCTAACCGTTACTCGATTAACGTGTAAACATTTCGCCGGCGATTTAGTTTGTGGATACTTCCTATGCTCGACACTTAATAAATAATTATTCCGTCTAACGTTTGGCACAGACTCAGAAACATTTTGTCTCAGCTTTTAAACAAAAGTCGTCGACCAGCTCGGAACCCGTTTTAAGGATGTATTGGCTATATAGTCAATGCCAAAAGTTTATGTACCTTAGAAAAACGCATTTCCGGTAATTAAAAATAGTGCATTTATCTTCTAATTTCGATATTTAATGAGTTAAGTATGATTATTTCGCATTTTATTGATTTTGATGAAATCTGACCATCCCACCGTCGAAACGGCGAACTTTTGGAAAAAAATTTCGTTTTTCCTCAATAACTCCTAAACGCTTGGAGATACGGGAAAATTGCATAGAACCTTTCTTATAGAGGACGACGAGATCTACAATTTCCAT